GAAAGCACAAAGAGTTGACTTCAGGCAAAAGAATAAGGAGTCAAGCTGAGCTAGAGGGGTCAGGAGTGAGTAGATGGATTGATTTGGGTGGCCAAGAGCAAGAAGTTGAGTTGAGGGAGAGTTAAGAAGGTATGTGCAGGTCCAGAGAGGAGCATTCTGGCACTATTTCCACTCCACAGCCCCGGCTGGCACCAGCACCCCAGGATGGGTCTGACCCAGCTCAGAGAGGGATCTTACCGTCGGATGAGTAGCCGGTGAGGCCACCAAAGATGACCAGCACGTAGCTGACATCCAGCTCTCTCATGATCTCATAGGCTTTCTCCTCTGTCGATGCCATGGCCTGGGGCAAACACGGCGTCAGCCACAACGTGTGGTGCCCAGAAAGGCCAGGCAAGGCAGCGGGTGAGGGAAGGACCCACCTGGCCGACGCGGGAGATGTGCGTGTTGTTCCAGGTGTTGTTATCCACCAGGATGGTCCGGTTGGCCATGGCGGTGATCTGGTACCCATAGTCCCACCAGGACATCACCTTTGCATCCTACACCCAAAAACAGGCCGTGCTGTCAGCGCCTCAGTGGGAAATATCGGGTCCTCAACACCCCAACCCCCCTGTACCTCCGGCGTGTTGTGCCGCAGCCAGTAATAGGCTTCTCTGAAGTCATCGAAGATGATCCTGCTGCCGTCCCCACCGCGGGCAGAGAGCACGATGGAGGGGGAGGAATAGGCCTCGCTGGTCACCCAGGTGGAGTGGAAGGTGTAAGTGATCAGGAAGAACGCCATGACCAGGATCATGCCGCTGGCAACCTGCGGGAGCAGCCCAGGGTCTCAGTGCTGGAGGGACGAGGCCATCAGCCTCCCGCACTCAGCCCCACCAGGACCAGGTGTCCTCCTGAGCCGGCCCAGCACGCACCTCGTTTTTGATGGGGTAGGTGGAGTCTTGCTGCTTTTTGCTCTTCTTGTCCGGCCGGCTGATATCCAGGTTCTTCATGTAGGTGGACAACACCTGGGAGACCCCGATGCCGGACAGGATGCACATCACCGGGGCCAGCACCAGCATGAGACGCACCTACGGCAACAGCAGAACTGTCGGAGAAGGAATCCAGGCAGAGATGGGGGAGAAGAGGGAATTTGATGCCATTCCTAATCCAGCACCTCAAATTCTGTGGATAAATTGTGGCTGATTTTTGTAATGGGGAGCTGCCACCATCTCAGACACTCAAAATGGGCCAACGTGCCAACATGACTCCAATCACTAATCTTAGGTGGAGGCAAGGATTAGTAAATGCCTCCATGCCACAACTTAACCACATTTAGGGCTTGGGGCGCCAGAAGAAGAGTGGAAATGGGTTCATTGGTAGCCATTTGTCAGCAGTCCCTGCTTGGAAACCCAGAGAATTTGGTTGGGTTTTCAGCTCAGCTTTAGGGCACAAGGAACAGCGACTGGTGGGTGGCACTGGGCTCAGGGAAGTAACACCCAAACCAGTGAGTTTTGCAACCTCACTGCACAGAGGGGCAAAAAGCCAATATTAAAGGAAGGGAGAAGAACCCTCAGAGGGAAAGAATCATCTTTAAGTTCAGAAATATAAAATAAATCAGCTTTGTTAGAAGCCAGGAGGCCGCAGCCCTCACCATGACAGCCGAGAAGTACATGCTGGTCACGCCGTACATGATGATGAAGATCCGGGCGTCCGAGAGGTTGCTGAAGCAGTAATAGAGACCAACTGTGGGGGGGAGAGACACAGGTCAGCTCAGAAATGACATCAAACCAGGCACACAGCACTCCCCCCAGGCTCAGCACCCCAGGAGAGGCAGGACAAACCCTCTGGTGAATAACTCAGGGGTGGTGACTCACCCGGGAACATGAACACCAGGAGCTGCAGGTCAAAGTAGTAGGAGGACCAGGTGGTGGGCTGGTGCTCAGAGACAGAGGCGATGATGGGGATGTTGTTCTTGGCATAGGAAGGGTCCAGCAGGGAGTAGAAACGCCCCGTCCACGGGGAGATCTTCCCTAGGAAAGAGGAGAAAACAAATCCTCTTTCGATCCAGCAGAGAGTTACCAGCAATGCCAACACGCGCTTTCCCAGGGAAGCACGTGAGGCTGGATGAGCAACCCCAGACCTTGTTCAACGTCTCTATTACTCAAACCTGCCATTTTAGAAAGGAAATAAAAGGCAATTTTACCCTAAAAACCCTCCTCTCCACCCAACCTCTGTTTTGGGCATCTCTTTGCTACTACAGAGCAAGGTTCAGTATCTGCAGCACCAGCCCAGTGTCTCTGCCCCTCAGATCCTGCAGCTGCTGCTTAAATATTCCCTGCTAACGCACAAATTGGGGCAGGTCCCAGCTTCCCCCTTCGAAGGGGCTCACAGGCACTGACACCACAGCAACACAGTTAGGACGGACAAATTCCATGCCCTTGGAAGCAAGGAAAGGGGGTGCAACACTTTCATTATGGCCACAATCTTGGCTACCTGTGAGCATCAGCACGGCCCCGATGCTGAGGAGGACGAAGCCAACGAGGGAAATGACGCTCCTGAAGAGGATTTCGAACTGCTGGGGGTTCAGCTTGCTCCGGAGGTAGTCCACGAAGGCATGGATCTGGCACAAGCCGAAGACTCCGAGGGCAGCCATGTGCTCCGAGGAGAGGACGGGCTGGGAGTGGGGCAGGGCAGGGTCAGACACAGAGCAGAACAAGAGCCCTGTCGCACCCGTTATCGGCTTTTTTCACAAATCACTTCTCGGCACAATCGCTGCCAAAGTCACAGGAAAATGTTCAGATGTTCCCTCCCTGTGATTGGCACAGCTGGCACGAGTCCCTTTCCTACATCTGCTTTGATTCTGATAAGAATCCACATGGAAAGTTAACTGGATTCTCTTGGAAACATGAGCCAGGCAGGCACATTTCCTGCCACACCAAGACACACAATGGCACCAGTGTTGCCTTCATCAAAACCAAAGATATTTTTATGGCAGGCAACCAGTGCCATGAAGGTTATCAGCAGCTTTGAAAGTCATCCAGCACCTCTGAAAGCTGATTTTGCCAAAGGTGGCAAGGAATCAGCATCATGAGAGCTGGAATAAGGAGCCAGCACCCACTTACAACTGCAAAGCAAGAAGGGAAACAAGGTGGCAACACGCTGCTGTTCTGTTGCAACCCACCCCTGAGTGTGCAAATCTTCCTGGTGCCCACCTGGAAGCCAACAAAGGAGATCTGCATGGAGAGGATGGTTCCCAGGCAGTAGACTGTGCAATAGGCTACGTAGATCCTGTGGGAGAAGCGCCCGGTCAGCATCAGCACCAGGACGTGCAGGGGGATGAGGTTGATCAGGAAGACGTAGCCACCCCATGAGGAGACCTGTGAGACACAAAGCAGACAGGCCCACAAGTTCCAGGACTGAACAGCTGCAGAGGTGAAATGTGGCAGGTTTGGTTTTCCTGGGATCACAGGCAGGATTTTCACCCAATGGCAATGCCAGCTGGGATCTGCTCTAAGAGCACCCTTGACATCTCAGGTGCCACAAACATGGACTTTTTAACATTACTAATAAAACCTTACAACATCCCCACTAGTTTGGGAAGTGGAAATGAATAAAGCAAGCACCCACTCCATTTCCATCTCCATGGAGGTTCCAGCTCCCTGGACACACAGCCATAGGAATGGCACACTGTGGATTCCCATCTCCATAAGCAGAGGGACCTTGGAGTTGGGATCACTCTGGCACGGGGAGAGGGGGCACTCACCATGTAGAAATAGGCCAGGGCACACATGGCTGCCCAGTAGATGGAGCCAGTTTTGACAGCCTTGATCCACATGTAGTAGGTCAAGAGCATGCAGAATATGGCAATACCTGCAGGAGGACCAGAAGGGTTTAATGTCACCCCTGGGGCATAGCAGAGCACTCAATCCATGAAAAATATACATATAAATGCTTTTGATGCTCCATCAGAAAGTGGAAGAGCACCTTGTACAAAGAGAAACCTGGGAGAAGCGTTTTATCTCCAATTTCTAGACTGAAGCACTGAGGGGTTTGTGTCTCACTGCAAGTAACAGCTCAGGTGGCTTCTTCCAGGCACACCAGCTACAAGAACTCCTTACACAGCCCCCAAAAGCCCAGCTACTGGAAAGGAACCTGGATCCTCCTCTGCCCCAGACATTGACAGTGAGAATCCTGTCTTTGACAGTCACTCCCAGAATGGAGATAAAAGCATGGGAGAACCATGNTAGGTCAAGAGCATGCAGAATATGGCAATACCTGCAGGAGGACCAGAAGGGTTTAATGTCACCCCTGGGGCATAGCAGAGCACTCAATCCATGAAAAATATACATATAAATGCTTTTGATGCTCCATCAGAAAGTGGAAGAGCACCTTGTACAAAGAGAAACCTGGGAGAAGCGTTTTATCTCCAATTTCTAGACTGAAGCACTGAGGGGTTTGTGTCTCACTGCAAGTAACAGCTCAGGTGGCTTCTTCCAGGCACACCAGCTACAAGAACTCCTTACACAGCCCCCAAAAGCCCAGCTACTGGAAAGGAACCTGGATCCTCCTCTGCCCCAGACATTGACAGTGAGAATCCTGTCTTTGACAGTCACTCCCAGAATGGAGATAAAAGCATGGGAGAACCATGCAGTAGTTCCAGTCTCAGGTGGAGTCTGTGCAGGTGGCAAAACCCTTTCTGATTGGCAAACAAGGATACTGGGAACAGAGTACACCCACTGCCAGAGTTGGGAAACACTCCCTCTTCTTCCCTGCATGGGCAAGAAACACCTCAGATCTCTGATCAGTTGGGTTCGTATGGCACAAACCTGGCAGGGCTCCCTGGGCCTCTATCGTGCCCTGCAGCACTTTTATCACCATTTTCCATTTCCCAGCAGTCCTTAAATGTTTCCCTGGGGGTCACAAACTCACCTTCGTTATCGTAGGAGCCGGCGACGGATCGAGAGATGTACCCGGGCACCACCGCGATCATGGCGGCAGCGAGGAGCCCTGCCCCTGCATCCTGGGAGAAACACAGCCAGGGGGGAAACAGCGGGGTTTAGGGGCTTTATTACTCAAAGGAATGAAATCTGAGTGTGGAATCGAAGTTTTGAAAAGAACTCCCACTTCCCAGGAGGTGAGGGTTTTGAGGAGTGTGGTGGTCACCTCCAAGACTCCAACCCAGCTGCTCTTCTATAAAGCAAAGAGCCCCTGCTCCTCGGGAAAGCCCCAGCCTGTGAGGGGCACCCCGGTGGTCCCCATACCTTGAGCTCTTTGGTGAGGTGGTAAGTCACGATGGTGGTGAAGGAGGAGAAGAGGGGGGCCAGGAACACGCAGACGTTGCGGATGTCGATGGTGATGTGGAAGAAGTGCAGCACGTGGTAGATCGCTGCCGACGTGATCATCAGACCTGCAGCACGGACACACCTTCCTCAGGGCGCTCCACAGCCTGGCCAGGAGGGAGCTGCTGCCCAGGAGGGAGCTGCTGCCCAGGACGCATCCCCGAGCTCCCCTCTGTCCCAGCTGGCACTCAGGGACGTGCTCCATGGGCACTCCCCAGCCCTCTCCCGATTTTCCCTTGTGCCAGGTGTGTTTTGGCTCAGCAGAAGCTTCACCTGGGTAAATGGTGCCCCCGATGATCCTGCCCAGGGGGTACCACGCTCGGTCATCAAACCAGTTGTGGAATTTGTAGAAGCCCTCCTCGGCCAGGAAGCGGGTGGTGCGGTAGTTGAAGTACCTGTAGGGGTAATGAGGTGCTGTGAGGGCTCATCCCACACGTCCCACATGGAGGGAGCCAGCCCAATTTCCCTCAACTGCCTCCAAACCTTGGCTGCAAAGGTTCCTCCCTCTTCCCATGGGGGTTAAAAGTGGGTTTGCAAAGGTAATAGTCTCCCTTGGGACTGATTTAATCAGCGACAAGCCTGGGACACAGACACAGGCTGTCCCAGGAGCCCTCTCTCCTGCTGCACTCAGGCAGGGAATAACCCCATTCCAGCAGAAAAGCAATGGCAGGCCATTCCTGGACCCAGGCTGCAGGAAGAGCCCTGGGTACTGAGTGAATTTTGGGTGTGGAAAAGGAAAACCAAGCTGCACTGAAACCTGCCTTCCAAATCCCACATCCTCCATGGGGATTCACTGAGCCTGGCACACACCACCCTAATTCCACATGCTCCAGGAGAGGAAACACCCAACAAGCCCCCAGGAACTGAGAAAAACTTACGGGTCAAATTCATGGATGACACTTTCGAATCTTAGGACGGAAAAGAGCCTCGTGGAGAAAGCTGCAAACACAGAGAAGGGGCAGAGTGAACACACAGAGCTCCCTGAGCTCGGCTGTCCTGCTTCTTTGCTGGATAAAAAGAATTTCTGTATTAAGTTGGTCAATGGGAAGGTAAAGAAAGAGGCAGTTTTCAAAGGAAAAGGCACAGAAGGATTATGGCATGGTTTTAAGGCAGGTGAGAACTTCACAGCCTGAATGAGAAGAGAAGGAGGAGCAGAGTCAGCTCCACCCCAGGGTCATCCCTGAGGACACAGACTTACAGAGCACAGCTGCCATGGACAGGATGAGGAGCTTGAGCAGCGTGTCCTGCTTCTCGTAGGAGAGCCGGAGAAACCCCAGCTTGGTCATTTTTCACATCCAAGGCAGAGCCTGAGGATCCTGGAATACCTGGACACCAACAGGAACAACTCAGACCCCTGAAGGCTTCATGAACTCAGATCTTAACCCCCCATTCCTGCCCACCCTTCAGCCCTGCCAGGTGCTTGTGCCTCCCTCCCCTCCTGCCCTCACCTGAGCAGTCACCCCAAGTCTTGGCTGGTTTTCCTCCCTTCACAGAGCCCAGAACTTCTCCAGGGCAGAGGATGCACCTGTTCCTCTGTGTACAGAACAAAACCCCCATGTAAGCTTTGAGCAAAGCCTCTGCAAACCCGAGTGTAAGCTTTGAGCAAAGCCTCTGCCTCCCCCCTGGCTGCTCTCTGAAGTTTAGCCACCACCTGCAAGTGATGCACAAAAAATATAACCCATGGAGAATGCAAGAAATCGGTGCTTTTTTCTCACGTGCAGCAAGTACAAACAGCTCTTGGTTGCTCCCACTTTGAATTATTTGTTAAATATGTAGATGTATTAGTGCTTTGTTAATGCAGACAAGGAGAGTAAAAATCAGCTTTGCTCACACTAGACAACGTGGCTGTTTAATTCAACCTCCCTGGGTGGAGCAAAAGCCAGAGAAATCCTGGGGTCAGACACCAAGGAAGTGAAACTGTGACTAGAGAATAACGGCTTTAACACCTTTCTACTCTTGAAAACACTCAGGTTTCTTTAAAGTCCTGCTTTAGGCAAATCAATGAGGAAAACCCCTCCCGCTGCCCTGGGCAGGCTCAGTCCCAGGTAAGTAAATCCCCAGTTCAGGGTCTATGAGCTACAACACAGTTGGGATGGGCTGAGATTTAAAAAAAAATAAATAAATAATAAATCAAACCAACTGCGCCTGAAGGAAACCTTCCCGTGCCCTGGAAGTGCTTCTCACGGGCACACGCTGGGCACTGGTGCAGGACCAACCCCGTGCGGTGGATATTTCCTGGATGCCC